AACCTAGTACTGGCATACATACATACATACATACATTCATACATACATACATACATACATGCACAAAGAAACATGTAACAACTTACCAGTTATGATCTGCGTATGAACCCAAATTGAATTAAAATGCATGTAAGAAGATACATATCCAATGTTAAAAGGGACCTGCTCCTTCTAGAGTCCTTAGTTAAAGCTTTAGTTATTAAAGATCTATACTGTATTCTTGCTAATGGTGTGGCCAACAGATAACAGCACTTGCCTGGCATGTACAAGGCCCTGGCTTGATCCTTAACATTGTAATAGAGAAGTAAATAATTGCAAGTAAAATTCTACATTCCATAATTCATCATAGAATAAATAAAATGTGGGCACTGGGGAGGTGGCTTCGTGGTGGAGTGCTTGCCTGGCATGCATGAGACCCTGGGTTCAATTCCTCTGTGTTGCACAAAGAAAAGAAAAGAAATGTTAAAAGAATAAATAAAATGATACTAATTAAGGAAAAGATAGGTAAGGGTTTCGATTCCAACGTTGCTAAAACGGTTCATAAGCAATGAATGTTTGGTTATCACTGAACGGACTTCATTCAGTTGCTGCCCTCAACAGGGCACCTGTGCTGTGGTCAGAGTTTGCTTGGTTGAGATTGGATAGATCCTCTCCCACACAGGACGAGTTCAATGATGAATAGAACTCTCCAGGGATAGAGGCACTCACAGCCAAGTTAGAAAGGTGCTAAATAAGGCATTCCGTACATGATGACATTACCTTGGTTCTGATCATCTTCAGTCTTCTGGAAAGGTTAAAAAGGACAAATGCATTTTAAGGTTGAAGCTGGCAACGTGGCACATCCATCCCCGGAATGCCACTCCGCATCCAGAGGTGTGAGCTATTGGTCCACGCTTGAGTGAATATCCAGAAAATTATGTTGAGTGGGGGAAAAAAAAAAGGTCCATCCCCCAAAGACTATAAATTATCTGAAGCCATGGATATAATTTATTAGAAATGTCAACACTGGTTGCCAGGGGTTAGGGATGCGAGATGGGGTGCAGGGAGGAAGTGAAATCCTTACAGAGGGGTCCTGTGGGGTTGGAGCTGGAGCTGGGTGGTAACCTGACCATGGCGGCTACCTGGATCTACTCAGGTGACACAGCTGCGCAGAGCCCGCTCCAAGGCGTGCGGGTGGACGTGGGGACTCAGAAGAGAGTCTGCGCACTGCAGCCCTGGGGACCGGCCGAGTGTCCAGGGCTTCTCTCAGCCTTATCCTTACGGCTTCCTGTGACTGTACAGGATGTCGGAATTCCAGTCTACAGGGGGTAGTATGTCCCTGCATAGGCCTTCTGACTGAAGACTGATGAGTCCTGAACCTTTAACCTTGGCCTCATTCAACAAAAGGAGTTAATGGATCATGTATGCTCCAAGATTGGGTCTTGATCAACTATAGTCATCCTCTCTAGTGTAGCCAAGTCTGACCGGTCTGTTCTTTTTCCCTATCACAGCCAAGATACAGATTTTCATAAATGTCTAACTAGAAAGACCATCATAATGGAAGTTGAATCTTCCAATGGTACAAAAAATGTAAAAGCCCAGATCCAGAATCAGGAGACAATTCCTCATATATATGTGTTTAGAGCGGGGTGGGAGTAATAGGTGTGCGTGCTCTGTAACTGGAGCTTGAACTCATGGTTTTGTAGCCTCATTTAGCTTTTTTGCTCAAGACTGGGACTCTACTACTTTTTTTTTTTTGGGTCCGGTCATGGGGCCTGAACTCTGGGCCTGGGCGCTGTCCCTCAGCTCTTCAGCTCAAGGCTAGTGCTCTACCCCTTGAGTCACAGCGCCACTTCCGGCTTTTTTCTTTTTTGCTTATGTGGTGCTGAGGAATCAAACCCAGGGCCTCAAGCATGCAAGGCAAGCGCTCTACCACTGAGCCACCTTCACAGCCCTGGGGCTCTACTACTTGAGCAATAACTCCACTTCTGGCCTTATGTTGATTGATTTCATGTACGAGTCAAATTTGTCTGCCTGGGCTGGCTTTGAACCTCAATCCTCAGATCTCAGCCTCCTAACTGGCTAGGATTACAGCATGAGCCACCATATCCAGCAGGAATTTCTCTTGATTGCCAAAGACTGATCTTTGCTATACTAGGCAATAGAAAACCTTCAAAACCAGTAAATAGCATGCCTATGTATGGACCACATGTTGGTTATACAGTCATCTATTGATAGACATCTGTCATGTGTATGAGTTTACATCTTCTATTTCAAAATAACAAAATTAAAAAATACCACAACACAGTTCCTGAAGGTGAGTATTAGATAAAGAAGAGGTTTATTTGGCTAACTTTTGGAGTCTTCCTTTCATCTTACATTGAGACTGGTGCTAAGAAAAGAAAAATGTCTAAAACCCTCCCAAGAAGAATAAATGTAAGAGAAAGAGGGTTAAGTTGGTTGCCTTGAAATACTGTAAGGCAAGTGAAATGGCAAAATGAGTCATCTTCATTGAAAATGCCCTTCAGACGAATGTGCTGCCAGTTTTATGGACAGCCAATAGGACTTGCCACATTACTGTGGCAAATGTTGTCTGACTTACTATTTCAATGAACTAGAAGGCAAGCAATTGTGTATGAGTTAATAAGAGACGTGAACATAATAGAACCCCGACACAATTAATTGATTAAAGGCTTTTCCAGTAGCTAATCACCCCTGAACTTTAGCCAAGAATTTCCCTTTCCTAGCACAAAGGAGTACTTAAGGATATGAAAACTCTGATTACCCCAATTTCCTCATTCAATAATGCATCACAGATCTCATTAGCATTCTGCACCCCAATAAATATGTATAATTATTATAGAGCAATAAAGAATATTTCTTGATAAACCTGATGACACAAGAAGCCAAGGGAGAAACCAAGACAATAGCAGGAGGCAGAGCCCCACCCCCACCTCCAACCAGGTCTTTTAAACATGTCATATTAAGGACATTCATATTGTTGTGCTACAGAGTCCTAAACTTTTTCATCTTGCAGCGTTAACACTGTACCCACTACACAACAACTCCCTTCATTCTTCTTCTGTCTCTAGGACTTTTACTACTGCCTAGGTAGGATCATACAGTATTTGTGCTTTTGTGACTGGCTGATTTCACTTAACATAAAGTTCTCATGGCTCATCAATACTACGTCATGAGTCCAAATTGCTTACCTTTTTAAAAGCTGGATTATACTCCACTTCTATGCGTGGATCACATTTTGTTTAAACAGTCATCTATTGATAGATACCTGTTGTGTGCATGAATCCATCTTCTATTTCAAAATAACAAAATTAAAAATACCATAACACAAGCCGGGCACCAGTGGCTCATGCCTGTAATCCTAGCTACTCAGGAGGCTGAGATCTGAGGATTGAGGTTCAAAGCCATCCCAGGCAGGAAAGTCCATGAGACTCTTAGCTCCAATAAGCCACCAGAAAACTGGAAGTGGTGCTGTGGCTCAAGTGGTAGAGCACTCATCTTGAGCTGAAGAGCTGAGGGACAGCACCCAGGCCCAGAGTTCAAGCCCTTCAACTGACCAAAAAAAAAAAAAAAATACCATAACACAAATCTGAGGATGGGTATTGTTAAAGGCTAAACTTTAAAGGTTCACTACTTCCTACTCAGGCCTCACACATGGCCAAGGCTTGCCTGGCCCACCTGCAATATCCAGAGATACAGACAGGACCCCAGTGGATGCCACTGGCGTGTGCCGAGTTCACTATGTCGCATGGCAGATGGAATCACAGCCATAGGGAAGAAGGAGAGATCCAAAAGTGCAGACAGAAATGAGGGTTACTGTTACTGTAACTCACCCTAGCAGGAGCTAACTAGGGTCTCATGAGAAGTACATTAATCCCTTCTAAGGACATAACTTGAAATGCTATAATCTACCCTCCACCTGCAGAAGTTCTAACATATCCATGTCATCCCTGCTCAGGTGACCGAGCTGCCACACAGGAGCCTCTGGGGACACACTTGAACCATATGCAAACCATTGCACATCGACTGTCTGGCTTCTTGGCTACTATGGATAGCTTTATCAGAACCTGCTTAAGAGAGAGCATTCCGAGTCCCTGCTTTGGAAATTCAGTGGCATTGCCAGGTTGCACAGATACTTTTGAGCCCAGTCTGAAGCTATGGACATCTCTTTGCTCCTTCTCAGAGGCTACGCTTACCCATGGGCCCAGGAGCTGAGGTCTGAGAACACACATCGCAGGACTCTATCCACATGTCCAGAGCCACAGACATCTACCTTATAGGGACAGGCCTGTTGGCCTCTGTGAAAGACACGGCCCTGTGTCCCCTGCCCAGGCCCTGGGCTCCACATATGGACAAGGCTTGCTCAGCTCTCCTTCAATAACTGGAAACACAGCCCAGACCCCAGTGTGTGTGGTCCCCACAGCACAGTCACTCTGGGACCCCAATCCTGGGTGCCCCACAAACCCCCATCAAGCCTGATGAGAGACCAAGTGGGTGGCAGGTCAGCCAGGCCATTCTGTGCCTGCTTTTCCTCGACTATAGAGCGCCTAGCATCTGTGGCTAAGCCTGAGCTACTGATTCAAGCTGTGAGCTTTGGGGCCCAGAGCAGAGCTTGGCCCCAGCTGGCAGTGCAGAGCCAAGGAGTGATGGTCCCTAGAAGACCCCAGCAACACAACACAGATACTCCCTCCCTGGAGGTCACCTGCCCCTGCCCCCTGCAAGCCATGCCCCTGTCTGGAGAGCCACAATGGACCCCATCATGTAGCTCCTCCCTCAGGACCCCACACACCAGCAAACCCAGCCACACCCTGTCCCTTTCCTCCAGCCAGCAGGGCCCAAGCTCACAGGACAGGGGCGGGCTCAGGGTGGCTACCTGGGAATTGGGAGGGACTTGAGGGCCTTTACAGCCAGGAACAAAGTCTTCCCCTATTTAAGCTCGGGCAGTGTGTGCAGTTGTTGATACCCAGTGTCCGGCTGCCAGCCCACCCCCAACTGCAGACATGCAGCCAATGTGGGTGCTGCTGCTACTGGTCCTGAGGCTCCATTTGTCCCTCAGTGTCATCCCAGGTAATGAGACTCCCCGAACTCTCCCATGTCCTCCCGCATCCTCTCATCGCTGGCCCCTCTCCTGACCCAGCTTTTGATCTCCCCTTGGCCAGTGGCAGAGGAGAACCCAGCTTTCTGGAACCGAAAGGCGGCCGAGGCCCTGAACGCCGCCAAGAAGATGCAGCCCATTCAGACCTCGGCCAAGAACCTCATCATCTTCCTGGGGGACGGTGAGTAGCACTGCCTGGACACCCCGGGCCCCACAGCTCTGCACCAAGGGCCACTCTGTACCCAGGCGGGCCCTGGAGCTCAGAGCTGACCGGGTTCTGCTTCTTCAGGCATGGGGGTGCCCACGGTGACGGCCACCCGCATCCTCAAGGGGCAGATGGGGGGCCATCTGGGACCTGAGACGCCCCTGGCCATGGACCGCTTCCCTTACATGGCTCTGTCCAAGGTGAGCACTGTCACCTGAGCCCCACGGCTGGGGAGGGGGAACTGGGGCAGAGGGGGTACCCAGGAGAGCTGCGCCCACAATGAGCACAGGCCCCAGCACAGTGAAGCACTAAAATGTCTGCTCAGAGCACATCTGAGAGTCTCTCCTTCCCCAGACATACAGTGTGGACAGACAGGTCCCAGACAGCGCAAGCACAGCCACGGCCTACCTGTGCGGGGTCAAGGCCAACTACAAGACCATCGGGCTGAGCGCGGCCGCGCGCTTCGACCAGTGCAACACCACCTTTGGCAACGAGGTCATCTCAGTGATGTACCGAGCCAAGAAAGCAGGTGGGTTGGGGACCAGGCTTGGGGACCTGTGCAGATGCAGAGGCCCGAGTGACCCGTCCTGACCCCTGCCCTGTGTGTACAGGGAAGTCGGTGGGCGTGGTGACCACCACCCGCGTGCAGCACGCATCCCCGGCGGGCACGTATGTTCACACGGTGAACCGCAACTGGTACTCAGACGCCGACATGCCGGCCTCAGCGCTGCAGGAGGGCTGCCGGGACATCGCCACACAGCTCGTCTCCAACATGGACATTAATGTGTGGCACAAAGGGCAAGGGGAAGCGGTAGCTGGGGCGGGGGGTGGGGGTGGAGGCTGCGCAGCCAAGTCCCAGGAAACAGCTGGCTGTGCCCTGGATCTGGGGAGACGGGGATGGGAGTAGAAAGTCCAGCCAGATGAGGCCCTTCCCGTGCACCTGCTGGGGTGTTGAGCCTTGACTGGGAAAAGGCCATGCAGGGACCCCCTCGGGCCTCACCCCCATCTGCTCTGATCCTGGAACCCACAGGTGATCCTCGGCGGGGGGCGAAAATACATGTTTCCTCAGGGGACGAAAGACCCTGAGTATCCGAATAATGCTAACGACTCTGGAATCCGGCTGGACAACCGGGACTTGGTGGCGGAGTGGATGACAAAGAACCAGGTGACAGAGGCATCCGAGCCTAGGGGACAGGACAGACAGTGGGGAACTTGTGGGTCTCAGGGTTAAGGACCTGTTGGATCCTTTCAGGGGGCCCGGTATGTGTGGAACCGTGAGGAGCTCATCCAGGCATCCCAGAACCCATCGGTGACATACCTCATGGGTAAAGACCCCGCTTCCTGCCCCGATACCCCTCAATCACCTCCACGGAGCTGCCATCCTGCCTACCTCTCAGCTTGGGGTCACCCGTGCTCCTTTCTCTCTCCCCCCCTCCCTCTCTGCCTCCCTCTCCCCCCCCCACCCCCCAGGCCTCTTCGAGCCAATGGACACAAAATTTGAGGTCGACCGAAACAAAGAGCTGGACCCGTCCCTGGAGGAGATGACGGAGGCGGCGTTGCGGGTGCTGAGCAGGAACCCCCGGGGCTTCTACCTCTTCGTGGAGGGTGAGCGGCCGTTCCAGGCAGGACAGAAGGGAGGGGTGCAGGCCAGGAACGAGCATCCCAGCAGTCCCACCTGCTTCCCTGTAGGGGGCCGCATAGACCGTGGCCATCACCTGGGCACAGCTTACCTGGCGCTGACGGAGGCCGTCATGTTTGACTCCGCCATCGAGAAGGCGGCGCTGCTCACCGACGAGCGGGACACGCTGACCCTCGTCACCGCCGACCACTCCCACGTCTTCTCCTTCGGGGGCTACACACTGCGGGGCACCTCCATCTTTGGTATGCCAGGGGGCTGTTGGGTCCATTTGATCTGTCTGCACCTCGGTTTCCTCATCTGTCAGGTGGATGCAAGCTTGGGGGGAATCTTGTGAGCAGAAAGCCAGCGGTGACCAGGCCAGTAGGGCAGGTGCTCTGTGTGGCACACATGTCCCACAAGCAGCTGGAAGGACTCAGTGTCCCCTTCTCCCCGTGCAGGCCTGGCCCCGCTCAAGGCCTTGGATGGCAAGTCCTACACGTCCATCCTCTATGGCAATGGCCCCGGCTATGTGCTGGGTGACCGGCCCAATGTCACAGAAAGCGAGAGCGGTGAGTGCAGGGGAGGAGAGCCGGCCTGGGGGCCAGAGGGGAAAGGGATCCACGGAGTTAGAGGTCACTGCCCTGCTGTCCTGTCCCGCCAGGCGCGCCCACCTACCGGCAGCAGGCGGCTGTGCCCGTGGGGTCTGAGACGCACGGCGGGGAGGACGTGGCGGTGTTTGCGCGCGGCCCGCAGGCGCACCTGATGCATGGCGTCCAAGAGCAGAACTACATCGCGCACGTCATGGCCTTCGCCGCCTGCCTGGAGCCCTACACCGACTGCGGCCTGCCGCCCCCCGTCGGGCAGACCGACACTTCCAACCCTGGCCAGGGCAGCACCACACGGCCTGGCCAGGGCAGCACCTCAGATCAAAGCCAGAGCAGCGCCGCAGGCCTCAGCCTGGTCACCTCACCGCCCTTGCTGCCTGTGCTGGCCTCGATGCTGCTGCTGTTGCTGGCTGGGGCGGCTGCCACCCCCTGACCTCCTCTGGATCTCCACTGCTGTTCCCACCCCCCCTTTCTGTTGTTCCAAGTCCTAACTGCCCCAGGGCCCACCCCACAAACCACCCCAAGTTCTCCTGCTGCATCTGGTGCTCCTCCTCTGGTTCCCTGGCTCCTACGCAGAGCCTTCACCCTCAGACTCCACCTGGGGCATTTGCCTCTCTGCAAGATCAGCCACCCTCAGCAACTGCAGGGCTTCCTCCTCTCTCCTGAGACCCTGAATGAGCAGAAATATCAGGACTTTCAAGAGTAGAGCCATGACACCCTGAGCCTTCCCCGTGCTGCTCCTGAACGTCCCTTCTGGACCCTGCCTCCCACACCCTAGAAAAGAAGAGGGCTCTGCCAGCCAGCTCTCCCTAGAGCCTCATGGAAGACCAAGCATGCAAACCACCCACTGGTGACCCTGCAGCCCCTGGATTCCCTGGGATGCCCCCCATAGGTAGAATCCCAGTCGGGTGGCTAGCTGACCCTCCAACCCGCCCTGCCAGGAGGCTGCTGGGGGCCAGATGTCCAGCCAGCCTTGACACACAGCCCTCTGCTGCCCCTCACTGGTCATCTCCACACCCCACACTCTTCACCGGTCACCCCAGGACAACATGCCCCTTGTCACTCAGCTTCTCCGCAATCACCCTCCCCGCCTGGTCCCCCAGACACATAAATTCTAAACAAGGATCCCCTGCCCTCCCGTGGAACCATTCCTACGGGAAAGACAGAGCACTAATAAACTATGATGCAATGTGATTCTAGTCACACTTTCTGTGAAGAAAAGCCTTGAGCGGCTGGAGGTGTGGAAGATTGAGCTGGGGAGGCTGATGGAGGAAGATACCTGGTACAGAGTCCCGGACAAAAGGAAGGCTGGAGGAAAGCAGACAGAGTAGGCCCTGAGGTGGCTGTGCATCCACAGGGGGCATCTGAGTAGCTGAGGAAAGGGGCCAAAGTCTGAGAAGTCAGGACAGGCGGGGCCTGGAGAGAAAGGAGGGCTCCATGGGTGTTCTGATTGCAAGCTGCAAATAAGGATGTGATGATATCAGAACACACCTGCACTCTGCCTGTTTCTGGGAGAAGTAGGTATTCTTTTCTTTGGGGGGGGGGAGTGGGGTGCAGAAGGGAGAGCCGACAAGCAGAGAGGAAGTATAGATCCCAAACATTGATTTTATTTTATTTTGGTGCTGGTGCTGAGACTGGAACTCAGTACTCAGATTTGTCTGAGTATGTTTTGGCTTTTTACTGTGTAATTGGCGATAAGAATTTCTCAGATTTGTCTGGGGTATGCCCTTGAACGGGGATCCTCAGATCTCAGCCTCCTGAGTAGTTAGCATTACAGTATGCCCAGCTGAAAACGAGGGGCTTTGAAAAATTGTAGGTTCAAAATGAAAAGGTCCTTGGTCTCTGACCGTATTTATAAAACACAAACATGCAACGTTTTGTTGAACGACTACAAGAAGACAGAGAGATGCTAGCTGGAGTTTAACAAAAGCCTGTGCATAATTGGTAGATGGAATCTCAGGCTGAGAGGGATGATTTAGTGAGCTCAGCTAACGACGCCCTTCTTCCATTCAGCTCTCATATTTTTGTGACAGCCACTAAAACCCAGAATTGAAATAAACTGCCCTGAGTGCCAGGCCTTCAAATTGGTGTTCTACGGTGTTAAATCAAGATTTTAGTAAATAAGGAAGCATATTCTATCATATTAATATTTCCAGTGGAAGCAAAATGTGTTTTCATGCTTTTGTAAGTGTACAGATAAATTTGTAATATTGCAAATTTTGTTGGAAACATGGCTTATTTCAGCTTTATGTAATTCTTTTCAATAGTCTCCTTGGGGCAGGTTGGAGGGGTTTAGAATGCTTTCTGATTAGGAGCAGAAATATTTGTAATCACACCAATAAGTCCTAGCTACTCAGGAGGCTGAGAGCTGAGGACTGCAGTTCAAAGCCAGCCTAGGAAGACAAATCTGAGAGACTCTTATCTCCAACTAACCAACAAAAGCCAAAAGTGGAGGTGTGGATCAAGTGGTAAGAGAGCCATCCATGAGCAAAAAAGCTAAGGGAGAGTGTGAGGTCCTGAGTTCAAGCCCCAGTCCCCCCCCACACACACATGAGCGCACGCGCACCAACTTATTTTGGATTTACATAATTGGTGATAGTCGCATAACTCTGTGACTAGTTGAAAATATACTAAATGGAGCTCTTTTAAAAAGATACATTTTATGGTATATAGATTCTACCTTTTTTGTTGTTGGTGGTGGTCTGGGGCTTGAACTCTGGGCCTGGGCACTGTCCCTCAGCTCTTCAGCTCAAGGTAAGCTCTCTACCATTTGAGCCACAGCACCTCTTCCAGTTTTCTGAATGGTCTATTGGAGATAAGAGTCTCATAGAGTTTCTTGCCCAGCTGGCTTTGAACTACGATCCTCAGATCTCAGCCTCCTGAGTAGTTAGGATTGATGACAGGCGTGAGCCACCGGTGCCTGGCATTCTACCTAATCTTTTAAAGAACAAATTAGTCTGTGTGTCCATGTTTCAAAGTGTATATAGGAGGGTTTTATCAGTCAAATGCGTTGTTGCTCACAGAATCAAGCAGCAGGGGAAATAGTTCTCAAACATGATTTGAAACATGCTCTTTCTTTGGCATGGGTTGTTGTTCAAACACAATTTCCTTCTTCATTACAAGGATAACTTTACTAAAGGGATATCTTTTACTAATGTGCATGTAGCTTTTCAAAGGTTTTATGGGGTGCCTAAAGCTGATAGCACTCATTACCTTACAAAAAAGTCAACATACTCCTCCAAGGAGAAAGAGGCCTAGATATGGGGCTCAGTGGTAGAGTGCTTGCTTAGCATGCACAGACCCTGGGTTTGATCCTCAGCACGGGGCTGGGGAGGGGAGGAAGAGAGGAAGGAGGGAGAGGAGAAGGAAGAGGAGGAGGGGGAGGGGGAGGAGGGAGAGGAGGGAGAGAAGGGAGAGGAGGGGGAGGAGGGAGAGGAGGGAGAGGAGGGGGAGGAGGAGGAGGAAAAGTAGGGGAGGGAGACAGGGAGGGAAAAGTTAGGCAGAAACAGAGGGAAACTAGGGACATCTTTTCTCGGTCCTTTGTCATGACTTATCTGTGACCCATTCTCTTGAGGTCTGAAGTGTCTCCATGATCACCCCCAGTCCCATCACCCAGTGTCCTAAGATTGAACGCTAATGGGACAGTTGTGGCCTTACAAAATGGCCCCCAAGAATGGCTTCCTACAGTGACTATGTGCTCCTGCCTCCTGCAGAGGTTGGACTGTTGGATGGATAAGCCAGTGGGAGATTCTGCAGACAGTGCTAACTCTGTGCCCTTATTGTTATATAGAATCTTTTTTTTTTTTTTTTTAGGGAAAAAATCTCTTTCTGAGTAGCTCTTCCATCAATGGAACTTGCCCAGTTTTCCCCATATGACATTGTTTTTATTCAGCAAGGCATTTACTGTTGGCAATATATCTTCCCTGCTAGATCTTTCCTTTAGTGGTTCACAAAAAGAAAAAAAAAAGTGGTTTGTGTATTTCATTATTGGAAGAGAATCCAGCAAACACCTTAAGCTGAGATGAGTTAGAAACGTCTGTACTTCCAGGCAACTGTATAGGCATCCTCCCACACTGGGTAATTTGCTCTAATACTCATTTCTTCCAATCTACAGTGTTTTCCTCATCTTCCCAGAGTATTTGCTGACAAAGAAATGCCTTTCGGTGTGTCGACAGATCATTTACTGTTCATTGTTTCTGCCATTTTTACTGCCACAGAAGAAAAAGTGTTTGCCTGGTGGTAGGTGGAGGATTTTTTTGTTGTTGTTTTATTTTGCCTTCTACTCTTATGCAACAAACTTTAAAACAGCTTTCCAAATATTTATCGTTGCTCAGGGAAATATCAAAAAGAACTGAGTTGAACGGCACATAACTTTAAACAACGCAGGAGAAGAGGATTTCGGGGTGTTTGTCTTCCTGTTTTTCAATGCCTGGAGAACGAGGAGGATTTATCTGGGTGTTGATGAGTGTTTCAGGGCAGCGGGTGGGGCTGCTCAGGCTTGGTGGGGAAGGATGATGGGACAGCACACCGAACGTCTGGTGCTTCTGTTTGTTGGGCATGTGAAGCTGACTTCCGGCTACCATCTGTGTTGCAGGCCCCAGGAGTCATGAATGACCAGCCCGGCCACTTCTGGCTGGAGATTGGTTTGGCTGAGGGTTATTCGTGCAGTTCTTTTGGGCATCTTTTTCAAGCTGCCTGACCATGTTGGAGTAATAGCTTGCTTAAAATTTGATTGCCTAAGCCACAAATCCACTTAGAAAAAGCACACTCAAGTCTAATACACTAGAAAGAACGGGAGGAGGGGGAGGCAGGTACCAGGGATGCTGCGTCAGCCTCAGGCACCCCATTTATTTCTTCTGGAACACAAGAGAATCATATAGGGTGATTGCTCAGCTGAAAAGAGGAAGGTACCAGCAACGAGCTCAATATTCAATATAACAAGTGCTCATAGCTTTCACTGAAAAGGACTGCAGCAAAGCAAGTCAGGCAGGTGACAGCGGTAACATCTGCAGTCAGCTCAGCACATAGTAGGCCCTCAGGAGGGTCTGAAGATGCCCCTTGTGGTGCCCGGGGGGCCCAAGTGGGTCCAGACATGCTGGGCCTGGGCTGGACTCCTGCAATGGCATGCAGCCCAGAGGGGACCACCAGTGTTTCCACTTGTGCCAGCTCACAGATGCCCCACACAGCTCTGGAAGCTGGCACAGAATGGGCCATGGTAGGCAGAAATGGGCCTGCTGCCTCCCAGTCTCACAGGAGGGGCAGGCCGGCGCCAGGTGTGCCCTCCTCCTGACCTTGGAGCTGCGGCTGCTCTGACATTGGCCCCACTAGGCCAACAAACAGGTGGCCCTGTCTCCTGAGCATCTGTACTACAGGCTGTCACCCTGGACTCCTCCTCCTCTGTCAACTGGAGCCTCAGGGCCCCCCAGAGGCCTG